CTACAAGAAAGACCAGTTAATACTACTTTTATTCAAATTTACACACTAACCACTAAAACCAGTGATGATGAAATTGATGAATTTTACCAACTTCTCAGTCTGAAACTGATCAAACATGCAATCAAGATGTATTGATCACTACTGATGATTGGAATGCAAAGGTTGGAAACAAAAAGAAAGGATCAGTAGTTGGAAAATACGGCCTTGCCACCAAGAAACAATGATAGAAATCACAAGATAAAATTTTGTAAGATCAATGGCTTCTTCAATGCAAATATCTTTTTTTTTAAAAAAACAGCATAAAAGACTACTAGACACCTGAACCTCACCAGATGAAATACACAGAAATTAAATTGACTGTATCTGTGGATAGAGACAGTGGAAAAGCTCCATATCATCAGCCAAAACAAAGTCAGAGGCAGACGTGAAATAGACCACCAATTGCTCATATGCAAGTCAGGCTGAAGTTGAAGAGAATTAAAACAAGTCCACTAGTGCCAAGATATGACCTTGAACACATTCCACCTGAATTTAGAGATCACCTGAAGAACAGATATGATGCAACAGAAACTAAGGACCAAAGACCAAAACAGTTGTGGGATGACATCAAGAACATCATACAGGAAGGAAAGCAAAAAGTCATTAAGACAAGAAAAACGGAAAAGACCAGAATGGGTATCAGAAAGGATTCTGAAATTGCTTTCCATCATAGAAGTGCTAAAACAAATTAAAGTGCAAAAGCAAATGGAAGAAATAAGGAGGTAAAGAAATGGAACAAAAAGTTTCAAAGCTCAACTCAAGAAGACAAAGTCAAATCTTATACAAGATCTGGTTAGAAAACCAAAAGGCAATAAGATGTTTGGTATCTCTCAAGCTGAGGGAACGGAAGAAAAAATTCAAGCCTCAACTTGCAGTTTTGAAGGAGTCCTGGTATGGCACTGTCGGTTAATGTACTGGATTGCAGAGTTGATATGAACCGCAAGGTCGGTGGTTCAAGCTCCCAGTTGCTCCTCGGTAATGCCATACAGGGTCTCTATGGGTTGGATCCGACTCAATGGCACTTACAACAACAACTATGGGCAAAATATTGAATGATTCAGAAAGCATCAAAAGAAGATGGACGGAATATACAGAGTCACTGTAACAAAAAGAAATGGTTGATTTTCAACCATTTCAAGAAGTAGAATATGATCAAGAACCAATGATACTAGAGGAAGAAATTTAAGGTATATTGTAGTCATTGGCAAAGAATAAAGCACTGGGAATTGACAGACCACAAATTGAAATCTTTCAATAAACTGATGTGGCACTGGAGGCACTCACTCATCTATGCAAAAAAAATTCTAAGACAACTACCTGGCCAACTGACTGGAAAAGATCCCTAGTTGTGCCCATTCCAAAGAGAGGTGACCCAACGGAATGCAAAAATCACTGGACAATATTATTAATACACATGCAAGTAAAATCTTGCTAAAGATATTACAAAAATGGCTGCAACCATACATTGACAGAGAACTTCCAGAGGTTCAAGCCGGATTCAGAAGAGGACGTGGAACAAAGGATATCATTGCTGACATCTGATGAATCTTGGCTGAAAGCAGAGAATACCAGAAAGATGTTTACCTGTGCATTATTGACTATGCAAAGGTTTTTGATTGTGTGGATCAAGACAAGCTACGATCAACATTACAGAGAATGAGTATTCCAAAACACTTAATTGTGCTCATAAGGAACCTGTACATAGACAAAGAGGCGGTTGTTTGAATGAACAAGGGGACACTGAATGGTTTAAAATTAGGAAAGGTGTTCACCAGGGTTGTATTCTTTCACCATACTTATTAAATCTGTATGCTGAGCAAATAATCGGAGAAACTGGATTATATAAAGAAACATGTGGCATCAGGACTGGAGTAAGACTCATTAACAACCTGCAATATGCAGATGATCCAACCTTGCTTGCTGAAGGTAAGGAGGACTTAAAATACTGATGAAGATCAAAGACCACAAGCTTCGGTATGGGTTGCATCTCAATGTCAAGAAAGCAAAAATCAAATCCTCACCACTGGACCAATAAACAACATTCATATAAATGGAAAAAAGACTGAAGTTGTCAAAGACTTCATTTTGTTCGGTTTTACACTCATGGAAGCAGCAGTCAAGGAATCAAATGACACATTTCATTAGGCAAATCTGATGTGTAAAGACCTCTTCAAAGTGTTGAAGAGCAAAAATATCAATTTGAGAACCAAGGCACACCTTATCCAAGCCACCATGATATTTTCATGTGCACTGTCAAAGTTGGGACAGTGAAAAAGGAAGACCGTAGAAGAAGTGGTGCAGCATTTGAGTATGGAATTAGAGGAGAATACTGAAAGTACCATGGATTGTGGAATACATGTACGGTCAGAATGCTCCTTGCAAGCCAGGATTTGGTCTCAGACTTCGGACATATAATCAGGAGGGACCAGACCCTGGAGAAGGATAAAATGTTTGGTAAAGTAGAGGGTTTGAGAAAAAGAGGAAGCCCCTCAATGAAATGTATTGACACAGCGGCAACAGCAGTGGTCTCAAATGTAGCAAAGATTGTGAGGTTTACACAGGACATTGTTCTGTTGTGCACATGGTCGCTATGAGTCAGTGCTGACTCAATGGCGCCTAACAACAACAACAACAACAACAACTAATGCAGAAATCTCAGTGATTACATGTAGTTATTTTCTTCAATCAGATTCAGTGAAGCTTTCAAAATCAAACCACCAAAGAAATCAGGAAATTCCAAAGAGTGATTTTTTTCTTTCCCAGGGGGACAATCCAAGAAGTGACACCTTAAAATTCTTTCCAAGCTGCTTAGCCTCCCTATTTATGGAAAATGTATTTACAGTAATTTCACTGCTAAATTCCTCAACTTCAGTAGGAGGGAGGCCTTATCAAAAGAGCCCAGCCTGGTTAATGTCAAAAGGAGGAAGTGATGATGAACGGCCACAAAATGCTCCTGAAATAGTCAGGGTGCATCCATAATAGCGTCTATGCCAAAATGTTTTGCATTTTTTGTTGTTGTTGTTGTTTTGTTTTAATCAAAATGGTCTCCTAAAGTAACATTTTCAGATCAAGTGAACTTTGATTAACAGGCTACCCAGCGATCTGTGCCCTGACAAATTGTTTGTTGTTGTTGTTAAGTGCCATGAGTCAGTTCGAGCTGCCAAACTGCTGATCCTTGTGGTTTGCAGTCCAGTGCTGATCCGACAGCACCACAACAGGAATCCCTGACAAATGTTTAGTGGGGAACAAAATAAAAAACAAAAACAGTGACCAACCCAAAGCCCACTGCCGACCAGTCAATTCCAACTCATGGACACCTATGTGACAGAGAAGAACCGTCCCACACAGTTTCTAAGCTGTAACTCTTCACAGACGTAGCCCACCACATGTTTCTCCCACAGAGCCGCTGGTGGGTTCAAGCTGCTGACCTTTTGGTTGGCAGCCAAGTGCTTTAAGCACAGTGCCGCAGAGGCTCCTTAGACAAAGACCAAATATGCCTAAATTCAACACCAGCATTTTCACACTAGCGAGTCTGATTGTGAAACAACTCTCTACCTATATTTAACAGAACCATACCCCAAAGTCAATATAATTCACAGTCTGGCCTGAAATAATTAGCTGCAATGTGTCTGCTTTAATCAGTGTGACCCCTTGTCCCCAGCTAACACCACCACCTTTAGAAAAGAAATTTTACAATAATTCTGAATGCATGCATACTTACCACGGTTAAAACTTTATCCTCCATTTCCACCACAAGGCAATCCTAAGAAACAGAAGAGGAAAAAGAAAATGAAATCTAAGAAGCCAAAAAATTTTCAAAAGCTGATGGCTTATCTCTAAACATTTCTTTTACCCTGCGATGTTTTCTTATTTGAACTTTTTGTAATCATGCATTGGAGATAATGTCAACATTTTTTAGAGGCACAGAGAGAGAGACTATGATTTTGTGAAGAGAAAAATCCTGAGGCACATCAAATGTGTGGGTAGGGGTGGGGGTGGACCTCTAAGAATGAGATGCCATCCTTCTCCCATCAACCAAACCAGCTGCTATCATGTCTACTCCAACTCAAGGTGACTCCATACGTTTCAGAGGGGCACTGTGTTCTCAAAGAGTTTCCAGTGGCTGACTTTTCAGATCGCCAGACTTGGCTTCCCAGATCAAACCTTCAATCTTTCAGTAAGCATTTTGAGGGTATTCGCTGTGTGCACCACCCCACGGCTCCTGAAAGTTCTAAGACGGTAAAAAAAACAACATTGCCATCAAGTCAATTCTAACTCATAACAAGCCTGCAGGTTGTTATGAGTTGGACTAGGTCTCCCCAGAGGGTTTCCAAGCCAGTCCCATCTTTAAGTAAAGGCAACAGACTGCCACACCTTTCGCCTTCGGAGCAGCTGGTGGGCCTGAATCACCAACCTGCTGGTTAGCAGCTGAGGGCTTTCACCACTGCACCATCTGGGTTCCTCCCTAAGAAGGTGGTGCCTCAGTCAACAACAAGTAATGGCAAGCAGAATTCTGCAAAATCCACATCTCGTGAGCCACCAGAAGTAGGTGCTACATAAAATTCCATGGAGAAGTTGTTCCTGGAGTCCAACAAAGTCCTGCCCTCCCACACTGGCCCACCCTCCTCTCAGCCTACCCCCTACAGCCTAAACAGTGTTGTTGTTGTTATGTGTCATGGAGTCGGTTCTGACTCATAGCGACCCTTTACAGGGCTTTCGAGACTGTGAATCTTTACAGGAGCAGAAAGCCTCATCTTTCTTCCATGGAACAGCTGGTGGTTTCGAACTGCTGACCTTGAGATCTGCAGCCCAATTCGTAACCACTACGCTAGCAGAGCTCCTTAAGCAGTGGTAGCTCCTGCGAAAGGGGGCAGAGATGGGTGGTGATGTAGGGGAGAAAAAGGGGCCCCACCCTCAAAGATATAGATATTATACAAAGTCTTCAGTAAGTCCTACACTAAAGCAGACATAAGACAAACATAGATCACCAAGGTGAGGGAAATCAGACATGGTAAGTTTCCAAAGTTCCATCTCCACATGGTGGTCTCTTATAGGACACAGAGAACAAAGGAATCTCCTCCCATCCCATGCCTGAAGGTAGCAGCCATTCATCACCTACAGACAGGGTCTCAGGTGGGCAAGGAAGGGACTACTGCAGACAGGAAAGCTTACAGTCCCTCAGGTTCTCCATGAAGGAGTGTGTCCGGGAATGTTCCTGAGATGGAAGTGGACCCAAACCCACTTTTAATATACTCTGCTTCTAACTCTGGCAATTCACTGTCAGAGATGCATGAGGTAATCAAGTAAGATTGGCATCTGAACACTTTAAGCTAGCCACACGATGGAATTCAGCGCTTCCTGGCTGGAGTCGTTCGCAGGCCAAAAGCCTTCAGATTTCATGCTTTACAGCACAGTACATTGATAGGGGTTCTTTCTTAAGGCACGGCTCTTCCCTGACCTGCCAAGAATTGCCAGAGGAATCCACCTCACACGTCACTGAATTAGAAAATCTAGAAACAGCACTGAACTGCCACCCCGCTACTCCAAACTGTGCAGAGTGGAGTCCTCACAAATCAAGAGGTCATGAAATCTTCCAATGGCTCCCAAATGCAACCAGGGCCAATAAGCCATGGAGTCTTTAGGTGTGGGCTTGCCTGGAAGAATAGCTTTCAAAGCAGCACTTGGGTAAACTTAGCCACAAAAGTTTATTTTAAGCCCTCCTGAGATTAAATCAGATAGTTCAGTGCTTCTAGATGAAAACGGTTCAACAAAACATTCATTAACACACTGCCAAAAAAAAAAAAAAAACAGTGGTCTTGAGGTATGCTATTGATAACATTAAATAAAGAGGCTGGAATGTGAAGCATTGTTTACTCAGCTTAAGAACAAAAGAGTCTGCACACTGCATGAACCCAACCTGGTGGGCTGGATATAGGAATCTCCACTGTTCTCCATAAAAGCAGCCAAAGTGAACTGCTAATGTGAAACTTTCACAGTTAACCTTCTAGAACTTTCCTGAGCAAGGGGCTTTCACCTTATACTGCAGGGTGCAGACACAAGTCAAGTGAGAACAGCTGGGTTATTCAGCATTTGCTCAGCACTAGTACGTACCATCCCAAACAGAGACATCCCATGGAAAACACAAATTATTGTACATGCGCAAGGAACAGTTAACTCCATGCTAACTCTGTTAGAGTTCTCAGGAAAAGGTTTTACTTAAATTGAAAAGTCACTTTTAAGTCATTTTTTTATTATTCCTGAAGGGGGTGGCTTCCAATTCCTATCCATTGTGATTCGATTATCAGATTTTGTTGTCTCCTTCCATTTTTAATTTTATCTGTTAGATAAAAACACAGGAAACAGTTAACAGCTACTTTAAAGCCAAAGCTGCTGAGGCCAACTCAGTGCTGCCACTGATTCCAGAGTAGAACAGCCACCAGGTTTCGAGTCCATAAATCTTCACAAAAGCAGACCGCCTCATCTTTTCCCGTTTTGGTCAGCAGTCACTACACCACTGTGCTCCTGAATAGCTACGCTGTTGTTAAGTGCTGTCGAGTCAGTTCCAACCCATACTGACCCTGTAGAGGGTTTCTAAGGACTGGCTAATGAGCCTGAACTGCCAACCTTGCGGTTCAAAGCAATTTAGTAGTCCACCATATTAACCCACAGAGCCACACCAGGACTCCAAACAGCTCCTCTGTTGGTAAAAGTGTCGTGGAGTTGGTTCCGACCCATAGCAACCCTGCACAGCGTTTCCGAGGGTGTAAATCTTTACGGGAGCAGAACACCTCATCTTTCTCCCTCGGAACCGCTGGTAGTTTCGAACTGCTGACCTTGACCGCTGGTAGTTTCGAACCCGACTCGTTCGTAACCATTACGTTACCAGAGCTCTGCTCCTGAAATTTACACTCTCAGAAAGTGAGAAACCTAGAAGGAAAAAAGATTTCTAAAAGACAAGCCACTTCCCTTGCTGTTCTTAGAACACTGCAGTAAACCACTTGCTCTTGAGTTCTTTCCAAACCATGTTCGATTTTTTGGAAGTAGACCATGAGGCCTTTCTTCCAAGGTACCTCTGGGTGAACTTGAACCTCCAACCTTTTGATTAACTGTGTGTAACTGCTCAGGGACCCCCAAGACAGTACAGTAGGGTGGCAGTCAAAACTAGTAATAAATGAATGTTTTCAGAAAGGAGGGAGAACTAAAAAAAATACAGAATTGCTGAGTAAATATATTCTGAATTGCTCTATTATTAGGAAATGTATGTTCACATGTTTAAAACTGATACAAAGTCAAATTATATGTGCAACTGCTACATAACATTTGAATAATTACAGTTCAAAGTGTACTTTTCCATCTCTATCAGGTCCACAGCGCTAAAGCACCAACGACTACACTAGCTTAGTTCCTGGGAACAGTGTCAGACTGTGAAAGATTAATTAAACCAACATTGTCTTTAGAAATAGTATACAGATGTGGTCTTATACGAGGAAGAAAATTAATAACTTGCATTTATGACATTTTATGACAAATTTCCCAGACAATTAAAGCTCTGTCAGCCTTGTGAGATTGTCCCCCAAGGGAAGAGAGGTCCTTTCAAGCCACCAGGGTTGAAGTCAAATCACCACAGGTTGATGTTTGACCTCATGGTTTCTGAATCTTGATTCTTTGGTGGATTCAAGAAATCTCCAAGAAAACGGAATCCCTCTTATGGTAAGAGAGTCAATGGGCAAGAAACTCCCCTCCGAAAAAAAACACCTAAAAAACAACCAAACCCACTGCTGACTTCAGCATCCCTACAGGACGGAGGTATGCTCCATGGGTTTTCCAAGGGAGTGATGGTCACGAAAGCATATGGTCACATCTCCCATAAGCAACTGATGGGTTAAACTACCAACCCTTCCGTTTGCAGTCATACATTTAACCCAGTGCGCTACCACAGTTCTGTTCCTCAGTTTGCTGAAGACACTGCCATGGAATAGATCCCGACTCGGAATTACACAATAAAAAACTGCTCCCTGGCTTTTCCGAGACTGAATCTTTACCAGATCAGCCAGCCTCATCTTTCTCCTGCACAGTAGTTCATGAGTTTGAACCACCAACCTTGTGGTTAACAGCCCAATGCTTAATCCATAACAACACCAGGACGTTCATTAAGTAGAACTTCCAAATTGTTCAAGTCAGCACTTGAAAGGGTTCACTTTCCACCTTGCCATCACAGAGAACGTGGCTCCCCACACGCATTCCCACAGACAGGAAGCAGCTGCAGGCGTAACCTCTTATTGTTTGGCGTGAAGTCAATGGAATGGAAAAAAGAGGTACTGGAACAAAGTCGCCCCTCATGAGTCAGACAGAGGCTGAGAGCTGGAACATTCCTTGGGCACCTGGACTGGAATACAGCCAGTCCGAGTGGCAGAGACCCAGCCTGAGCTGCCCCAGACATCTCCCTCCCCACTTCACCTCCTCCTTCCATCTTCTCAATGACTGAGCAACATTGGGCCTGTTGTTTAACCTCTCTGTGCCTCCGTTTCCATCTCTGCAAAACAGGGATGAAAACAAAACCTATCTCAGAGAACAGTTGGTGATTAAGTGCCTTAACATACATAAGGCATGTAGTAGCACATGACACATGCACCGAAAACCTCATAGCCACTCAACACGTGTCAGAGTCCAACTGTGCTCTGCGAGGTTTTCAATGGTTGGGTTTCTGAAGCAGATCACTGGGTCTTTCTTCCAATCACCTCTGGGTAGACCTGAAGCATCAACCTTCAGTTAGCAGTCAAATGTTTAAGTGTTGGCACCACCCAGGGACACCGAGATAAAACTGTTGCTGTCATGTGCTGTCAGGTTAGTTCTAACCCTCTAAAGGGTTCCCAAGGAGCGGCTGGTGGGTTTGAAGTGCTAGTCTCGCCATTAGCAGTCCAGTATTGACCCTAAAGCATCCATTAATGGTCTCATCATCTTTTCCTCTTCTGCACCCAGGGTTATCTTTTTGTCTATTTTTCTTTTTTTTTTGACCCAGTTTTTGTTGCTTATTTCCCCATTTCTGTTCACACTGACGTGTAACAGTGTAACTACCAGTTTTTACAACCTCACAACAGGAGAAAGGTAAACCGAGATCCTGAACCCCTCCCCATTGTGGGTTTCAGTCTCTAGAATTAGAGCCTGGAAACTGGAAGGGAAGACCTGACGAAATCCATCCTTGTCGCAGAAAGGTTCTTAAAAGAGTGTGCCATTTCTTCGCAGGGAGAGAAAAGAACAAGGGGCATCCTCCCAAGTGTATGTTTCATCCATCACTTGTGGGAGACAAAGCGCAGTGAGAGGGAAGAGAAAGGAGGGGAGTGTGGGGCTCCCTGATGACAAGGAAAAAATACCACTGAGAGAATGCAGGCAACGCAGGATGGTAAGGTCAGATTACTACCACCTTCCCATGGGTTTGCTCTGGTCGTGTACCCAAAACTGAGCTCCATATTCAGTACCTCTGGTACTCCTTCCCTCAACGATGCATCTTTGACATTACTGTACTTTTTCATCCTTATGTTTTCTCTGGGTCAAGAGACTATCAGCTCCGTGAGGTCAGGGAGTTTTGTTGTTTTTAAGTTTTTATTGTGAACTGAGTGATAATTTACACAGGAGAACATCAGCTTCACACCATCGTTTGTTTCATGGCAATGATTACAACCTCCTCCATGTTTCAGTGGCTTCTTTTCTTTTTTTAATGTTTTATTGTGAATTAAGTGATAGTTTACATAGGAGAACATTAGTTTTACATCATTGTATATTGTTTCATTGCCATGAATATTGTATATTGTTTCAACACCCTCTATGCATTGTATATTGTTTCAACCCCTCTATGCATCATCAACCAACCAAAGGGTACACCTGCAAGCCTGGCCCCCAGTCGTCAGCACACAGCCCCTCTTCCTCTCTGTGCCTAAAGTCCCCAGCTGCTCCATCTCTCCACGTCATCATCTCTGCCTCCATATCAGGTGTCACTGCTGCTCTGGATAGGGTCCCGCTCGCCGCTCTTCTCCCTTGATGGACCTAGGGACCTCCGCTCCTAGACTGCAAAGTCAACCACTCTTGTCCTTTTGCTACAAAATGTCTACCTTTACATTTCCAACCCTCACAATCAGTCCTGATAACAATTATTCACTATTCTATCACAAGAGACCTATCTGCATCTCCTTTCATCAGCCCCACCCAGACAGATTAGATACTACTCAGTGGAGCTCTGGTAGCATAGTAGTTACGGATCAGGCTACAAATCACAAGGTCAGAAGTTCGAAACTACCAGATATTCTGCGGGAGAAAGATGAGGCGTTCTGCTCCTATAAAGATTTATAGACTCAGAAACCCTGTACAGGGTTGCTATGAATTGGAATCGACTCTATGACACATAACCAACCAACCAACCAGTGGAGATTCTACCTTCCTCCATGCACTCTGGATCTAAGTTTCCTCTTGAAAGCTTATAAGCCAGTCACTTCTTGCCTTTGTAGCCCTCCCTAGCCCCCATTTTGGGTAGCCAATGTCCAAGTTGCCCATCCCTGTCTACTCTGTGCATGGAGGGGATGGGAATGATCCTTGCTGTAAGGTTTTGTTCCCTCTTTTGAGCTACTGCATCCATAGATGTAGGTCAAGTTCATCAAATTGTATCAGATTACTCT